TTGATATTTGGATGACTGAGTATTTATCATTACAGCTGTCAATTGTACTTCTTACTTACAATCGTTTTGGAGCAATTTGTGTCAAATAAGTCACTTGAGAGAGAACTTCGAGTGCTTCCTCTCACCACGTTCACAGCCAGACATAGAAAGGACTGTTTTATTAGCACATAAAACAACTTGTACTTTTTAAATTAGAATATTTTTTACAAAGTGATAAACAAATCCCTTGCCCTTGGTTTTGGTCAATCAGAAGAGTGAGCTTGTGCTTGTTTAGGCAGGACTTGTGTGTTTGCTGATTCATGTATTTTTCTATTATTGTATTGAATCTCCAATATTTATAATTTGTCTCGTAGGTATTGTTTTTCATTGTTTTAATGGGAACGTGCTCTTGGTCTGTGAAAGACGCTTTATGAATAAACTTGACTTATGTTTTCCAAATGAACAAGACGTATGTAATCCTGTGCGCTCTGATTGAGGTGTGAAAATCTACTTTGCTTTGAAATTGGATCAAACCGTTTCTACTTCAGATGCGATGGCATGTAACCACCTGGACTGGATCCTATAGAGACAAGACCAGCCCATGCATTCAAGAGTTATGCATTAATATTGTTGTAATTGTGGCATAACTAGATATTCCCTTGGATATCTTTAGCTGAGCTCAACAGCAGGCTACTCCTACATTAACATCCACATCTAACTTACATCCATCCATCCATCCATTTTCTTCCCCTTAATCCATTTCTGTGTGGTGGGGTGGCAGTCAGAGCACCAGCCCCTCACTGATCCTCCTGCAGGTGCTGAGTCCACAGGAGCTGAGATCTTTCAGTGGGGGCTTCAGGCAAAGTGGGGTTAAGTGTCTTGCCCAAGGACACAATGACAGCAGTCATCAGTGGGAGTCGTGAAGTAGGTCTTATGGTGGGCTCAAACTCACGACCTTCAGGCTCTAAGGCCAATGTTCTACCAACTGAGCTACTGTCGCCCATCTAACTTACATATACAGACTAAGTATATTTATATTTAAATATAAATATACTATATATTTGTATATATATCTAACTTACATATACAGACTAAGTATATTTATATTTAAATATAAATATACTATATATTTGTATATATATCTAACTTACATATACAGACTAAGTATATTTATATTTAAATATAAATATACTATATATTTGTATATATATCTAACTTACATATACAGACTAAGTATATTTACCTTTTATTGTGAATACAAATTTCACAGGTATATTTAATGTTTACACAACCCTTCACGTCAGGTACTTTCAATATTATCGTTGAAGCTGTAAAAGCAGTACATGTTCCTATTTATTGTTGGTATCACCCCTTCTTTCTCCTACACATCATGACCATTCTGCCAAGGTGTGTGTCAGAGATGAAAATGAAAGGATAAGGGAGGGATGTGAGAGACAGACAGGAGCTGAGCATACTCAGGCCGGGGAGGAAGAGAGAGAATAAAAGGCCTGAGCGTGTCGAGCAGGCTCCGTCTCCCAATTCAAAGAGGGATTTTCACATTATGATTCTCCAACAGTGTATTGCATACTTCAAAGACCTTATTACAAAGGCCTATTAGCATTCATGCTGCCATTCACCGGGCAAGTCCAACACCTGCATTTGAAAGCAGGGCCAGGGTTTTGAGAGGAAAAAGTTCTTAGGATCACGGTGCTGAGTGAAGGAGCTTAGCATGAGAGCGGGTTTAATGGGGACTGTATACGTATCTTTTTAGTGAGGGTTTTACAGCTGTGGTTTAATAGTAATCCATCCATTTGTTTTGTATAGAACTTTTCAAAAGCAGTGTTTACACAGCGCTGCACAGTCAGCATAATAAACAGTAAAAAGTCACAATTATAAAAGTCAAAATAATGAGATAGATTACTAAATACAGGAAGACAAAGGAGACATAGCAAACATCGCAGAAAAAGACAAAGCAAAGACAAAGCAGACAGTGAAATACAACAGTATCTGTTTATTTATTTCATTCATCCATCTTCTTCCCCTTAATCCATTTCTGGGTCGGGGTGGCAGTCAGAGCTGCACCCAGTCCACAGAGCACCAGCCCCTCACTGATCCTCCTGCAGGTGGTGAGTCCACAGGAGCTGAGATCTTTCATTGGGGGCTTCAGGCAAAGTGGGGTTAAGTGTCTTGCCCAAGGACACAACAGCAGTCATCAGTGGGAGTTATTTTCTATTTACTTATTTCAAGTAAAGAAAAAATAACCTCCACAGTCCATTACACTTCAGTCCTGTGACTTAAAGTGTTTGGAGGAAGCTTGCACTTGTTCGATTCCAACCCCACTCACACCTCACTATACACAATAAACAGAAACCCGACACATGCCCCAAACACTCCGACCATACACCCCAAATACATGATAAACACAATGATAGTGCTCAAAAGGAGTAGCGCATATTTACAATAAAGTCATTTAAAATCTTGACATTTGAAATGTATTACAAGTGAAATTCATTATAAACAATGACCCCTCCCCAGGTTCATACACACACAGTGTGTATGAACCTGTCTATGAGGGCATCAATCTCCCATCTCTTCCTGATAGTCCATCCATCCATCCATCCATTTTCTTCCGCTTCATCCGTTGCCGGGTCGCGGGGGCAGCAGTCTAAGCAGAGACGCCCAGACTTCCCTATCCACACACACTTCCTCCAGCTCATCCGGGGGGACCCCAAGGCGTCTTCCCCGGGGCCTCCTCCCGGTGGGACGTGCCCGGAACACCTCCCCATTTCGACCGCTTGTATCCGCGATCTCGTTCTTTCGGTCATTACCCAAAGCTCATGACCATAGGTGAGGGAGGGAACGAAGATTGACCGGTAAATCGAGAGCTTTGCCTTTCGGCTCAGCTCCCTCTTTACCACAACGGTCCGATACAGCTCTGACTGCAGACGCTGCTCCCTCTTTACCACAACGGTCCGATACAGCTCTGACTGCAGACGCTGCTCCCTCTTTACCACAACGGTCCGATACAGCTCTGACTGCAGACGCTGCTCCCTCTTTACCACAACGGGCCGATACAGCTCTGACTGCAGAAGCTGCTCCCTCTTTACCACAACGGTCCGATACAGCTCTGACTGCAGACGCTGCTCCCTCTTTACCACAACGGTCCGATACAGCTCTGACTGCAGACGCTGCTCCCTCTTTACCACAACGGGCCGATACAGCTCTGACTGCAGACGCTGCTCCCTCTTTACCACAACGGTCCGATACAGCTCTGACTGCAGACGCTGCTCCCTCTTTACCACAACGGTCCGATACAGCGACCGCATCACTGCGCACGCTGCACCGATCCGCCTGTCAATCTCACGCTCCATCCTTCCCTCACTCGTGAACAAGATCCCGAGATACTTGAACTCCTCCACTTGAGGAAGGACCTCTCCACCCACCTGTAGAGGGCAAGGCACCTTTTTTTCTTTTTATACATGTTTTCAGTTCCTCCTCAGACTATTCCACATCATGACCCCCTTCACTGAAATACATAGATTTAAGAGTTGTCCTGACTTTTGGCTGATATAGTTTTTTAATCCCTCTCAGATTATGTGTGTGATGAGCATCCTGATCTTGAAAAAGACTCTGGATGTGATCAGGAAGATAAATTGTCGATGCTTTGACCATAACCTGAGCTGGTCTATAATTTACCACATCATACAACTTTAAGTTAAATGTGTTAAAAAACAGTGTGTTGGTGCGATCATTATATTTCACTCTATGAACAATTCCAACTGCTCTTTTTTGAAGCGTAACTAAAGGTAATAGATTTGTTTTGTAAAAATTCCCCCAAATTTCTATACAATAATTTGTGAATGAGTGATACAAAATAAATAAGGCATTTTGATGGGACTACTTCATCACCAACACACTTTGCTTCTTTTGATCGCAGGTAATTAAGAAAGTTTTTGATCAATGATTACTCCCAAACACACATTTTGCTAAACATTTGCCAAATAGTGCAACAAGACTTTTAGCGTGCTCAATCAAATGTTCTTAGTTCATGTTCAAGTTTGTATTCTCTGTTCTAAACAACCACCGACGGGACCTTTTCCCCACACATTAACATTAACATTAACATTAACAATGTCTTTGTGAATTGTTGAGGTTTCCACGTTCTTCCCTCGTTCACATGTCGTTGGATTATTCATGTCTCCGGCGGCTCTAGGACACACTTTAGTCACTTAAGCGTGCTCAAGTCACCGATGAAGGGCTTTCCAGGCAACACCCCACGAGCTGTTTGCTTCATTAGCTTTTTGTTGAGTTGACTGCTAACACTTGATATTGTTGCAGGCTGTTAATTCCAAACATTTGCGAGTGCTGCCCACTAGCAGAGTGTGATTGGAGAAGGGGAGCGCTCGCCGTTATAATGAGACAAATGTCTTCTCAAAAGTGCCAAAGGAGCCTGTTCATCACGGGGAGAGAGTTGTGTGTCATTAAAATGTTTTTTGTTTGGGTAATTGAAAGAGAAAAATTATGCACATTTATAAAGAGAAACACTAATGAATCTCAAGCGTTTCTCAATGGTTTTTTTTCTTTTTTTATAAATGGACTTTCCCAAACTCTGAAAAATCAATTAGAAAGTACTGTGAGAGCTGAGCCGACCCGTTTGCAGGATTTATATGTCAGTATGGATTTAATTCAGCAATGTGCAGATTGATGATAATTCAAATATATTAATAACATTAATGCATTCATTTGCTCATAGCAGAAATTCACTAAGAAGCTGCAAAACCAAGATGATGTTAAATTGTAAGACGTATGATTTACATTTGCAGGGAGTGTAAAGAGCATGAAATAAAACATCTCAAATCTGAAAGGAGAGGCCCTAAAATCTCTCAGGTCAGATGCTGTGGTCATGAACCTAACACCTGTGTCGTGGAGATAAGTTCACACCAAAAGCTGCACTGGAGCTGTCTCTCTTGTCATATAGTGAAAGAACTGCGGAGCCTTGGCAGAGCTGAGAGACCTGATCTATGGGGGGCATCGACCAATTCCCAAGATTTAAAGGATTTGCTGCCAACTTCTTGCTCGTGTACTTCAGCACTGTCCCAAAGTCAGAGGATTATATACTGTACAACTTCACTTCTATAGATTCACTCAACCTGTATTCTTTTTTGGTTTTAAGCAGCAGATGTTATGCATTATTGTTGGAAACAAGAACAAAAGAGTTCATAATAATTTTTACAGAAGCCTTGCATTATGCCTGCAGTGAAATTGTGCAGTAAATACCTGTATATAAGAGTTATTAAGATACAATGGAGGCTGTGGTGCATCCTGTGGTGTGTCTACTACCCACTGTTGAGTCGTTTTCAAGTTTAAAAGAAAAAACATAACAATAAATACATGTGTGTTGTGGACATTCCTCACTGTACAGTTTGCCCCAAACAAGCTTATATTTTATATTCACCATCCTCAGGAGAGAAAAGGCAAGTCATTTTTACTTCCGGAACCAGGAGGAGGTCGGTAGCTTCACAGCTCCATAATTCAATGTGCAGCAGGGTGTTTTTACACTGAAGTGGGTTTACATTTCATGTATTGATTTTTACTATTTCACAAGAACAATTGCAGCTTTTAATCAAACCACTCTGACAAGTGGAAATGCACTGCCTGTTGCAAAAGGCCAGAATGAAGTGCATCAGATTACCTAAAGATAGAGGGGTATCTGTAAGCTGGCAACACACACTCGCACGCACACAAACACACTGCCACACACACACACACACACACTGACACACACACTGCCACACTCACACACACTGACACACACACTGCCACACACACACATGCACACAACCCACTAAATACACCTCTGACTAACAACAAGTACGATGCCTTTGGTACAAATTTCACTTCTAAATGAATAAAAAGGGACTTGCTTTTTGGCTCCGGAAAGTAAAGCTTGGAGTTTACTTGTTTATTTAACTTTTTCTTCATCATTAGCTCATTTAAATGTTGTAGCTCGTGCTGGGCCCCTCAGGTGGATTCTTATTTGGGTTAAAGCAGACTGAATTAGGGCTGTTAACTAACACTATATGTTAGAATAAATGAACAAACAAGAGCTCTGGGCAGCGCAACACTTCAAGGCCACTGTTTACAAGATGCTCAGACACGTTTAACCTATATTTTTATTCCAATGTGATCATTAGCTTGTGTCGACCTGTTCTTCAGTCATTTGCTGAGTCTGAAAGTGCATGAGCAGCAGGCATCGAGGATATTGTACCGTGCAGCATTTTCCATCTTATTCAGATTCAGGTGAGCCCACAATGCTCTGGGCAGGCTCCAGGGCCAGATGCCAGCGTAATAGACCACAGAAACAAAATAATACCTCATTGATAAATAAATGAATGGTCCTGCTGAAGTGTTAAGTCTCCCACTAGATAACATCCCGTCACACACTCTGTTATTCATTTCATTTCATTTGTTTATTTCTTTCGAGCCCATAACATTACACATTTGTTTACACAACAAGCATCCCACAACATTGCACAAGAACAGAACATGATTCACTAATGCTCCTGTGCCCTGAAGAAAAATAAAAAAAAATAAAACATAAAACATAAAAGTTATAGAAATCTTTTTTGACAGGTTAGCACTTTTCTCACTATTCAGGTTTTTCTGACAGGGGAGTGGATAATGCACCATCTTTCATGGGTTTTCACACGGGAACACTTCCATGAGCCATACCAACCTGTCACAGCCTCTTCCCCTCATATTTCAAAAACAAAGCATGTCAGGGCCTGGTCAGTGTTTGGATGGGAGACGCCAGGGAGATTGACTGACTGCAAATAAACAGGGTTGGTGGTAATGCAGCGTTTAGAATTAGGTTTGGTTAATGCAATGTCTACCGTGATTAATATTAGGAATATCTTTAGTTTTAGCTTTATATTTTGTCCAGTTTGCTTATTGTGATACTTTGGTTTCTTCCGGCAGCACTGTTGCTTTATTGCCATCTGCTGTTAATCTGAGAGAGAAGTTAAAGTAACAAAATGCTTATCTTCTTTGTAATACTCAACAATATGCAACGTTTTTTTCTACTGTAAAATAAGTACCCGATTCAGTCCTTTTCACATAAAAACCTGCAGCCAACTCTTTACACTGAAAAAATGAGAAAGTATGAGGTGATAAATGCTGGAATTGATTGTCCCCTAAGTACATTCTGACAGTCTTAAAACATTTGCCAACGGTACAAAGCCGTTCAGTCATAATTATAGAAATGTTATTTTATTTTCCCATTCCAAAGGAGACATTTCTTGTATCTTTTTGATTGGCATTTCTTATTTTAAGGCAGTCCAACTGTGTTCAAATCAAGAATCATTTTGCCTAATTTGAGCACTTTCTGACCTATTTTCCATCACTTTTAGCACTGTTTTTCCACAGTGTAATCCAGTGCAGCATATACAGTAGATGGCCTGCACAGTGACATACGCCTCACACCTGTCCACTGCACGGACCTCACACCTGTCCACTGCACGGACCTCACGCCTGTCCACTGCACGGACCTCACACCTGTCCACTGCACGGACCTCACGCCTGTCCACTGCACGGACCTCACGCCTGTCCACTGCACGGACCTCACACCTGTCCACTGCACGGACCTCACGCCTGTCCACTGCACGGACCTCACACCTGTCCACTGCACGGACCTCACACCTGTCCACTGCACGGACCTCACACCTGTCCACTGCACGGACCTCACACCTGTCCACTGCACGGACCTCACACCTGTCCACTGCACGGACCTCACACCTGTCCACTGCACGGACCTCACACCTGTCCACTGCACGGACCTCACACCTGTCCACTGCACGGACCTCACGCCTGTCCACTGCACGGACCTCACACCTGTCCACTGCACGGACCTCACACCTGTCCACTGCACGGACCTCACACCTGTCCACTGCACGGACCTCACGCCTGTCCACTGCACGGACCTCACACCTGTCCACTGCACGGACCTCACACCTGTCCACTGCACGGACCTCACGCCTGTCCACTGCACGGACCTCACGCCTGTCCACTGCACGGACCTCACACCTGTCCACTGCACGGACCTCACACCTGTCCACTGCACGGACCTCACACCTGTCCACTGCACGGACCTCACGCCTGTCCACTGCACGGACCTCACACCTGTCCACTGCACGGACCTCACGCCTGTCCACTGCACGGACCTCACGCCTGTCCACTGCACGGACCTCACACCTGTCCACTGCACGGACCTCACACCTGTCCACTGCACGGACCTCACACCTGTCCACTGCACGGACCTCACGCCTGTCCACTGCACGGACCTCACGCCTGTCCACTGCACGGACCTCACACCTGTCCACTGCACGGACCTCACACCTGTCCACTGCACGGACCTCACGCCTGTCCACTGCACGGACCTCACGCCTGTCCACTGCACGGACCTCACACCTGTCCACTGCACGGACCTCACGCCTGTCCACTGCACGGACCTCACGCCTGTCCACTGCACGGACCTCACACCTGTCCACTGCACGGACCTCACACCTTGAAAAGCCAACAACCGTCACAGTCAGGAAAAAAAAACGAACCCACAAAAAGTTACCGCACAATGTATTGCAAACGTTTTAATGAGTTCACCCTTAATTAGTGCCAGAGGAAATCGAAGGCTTGCCCCAATGCTCGTCATTAACAAACGGGCCGACAGCAGACCCCCGGGACCTCCGCTGAATAGGCTCTTATCGTCACGGCGACTACATAAGGAGTGTGAAAAGTGAAAGGCATTGTGCGCTGGTGCGAGTCCCGCTGAGTCGAGTCAGGCATTGACATTTGCTACAGCTGCAGGTTACAGGAGCTTGGTTAATACTTCTTCTTTCTGTCTAGTCTGTATTGTTGCCTAACTCCACTCTCAAACATTACAAGTATCTCCAAATCAAGAAACAATTGGATTCTTTATTTATAACTCTTTCAAATAAAGAACTGGCGCTCACCTCAAAAGCCCTCTGTTGCTTGTTAGCGAGAGCCAAAAATGAAAATAATGTGCAAAAATATACCAGATGAAGCAAATCGAGGTGGTGCAGTCATGACTTTGGAACTAATGAAGAATTGGAAGTGTCAGTTCTGATGAGTGGAAGTGTGACAGCTGATTGTGAACCTGAAACCATTATTGCACAGTACTTTGTGGCGCTAAACTATGTGTGCTAATAAGCAACACTATTTCAGGTGTAATCAGGTGTAAATTTTGCATATTTTATCACGTTTGAAGCAGTCTCTTAAGAAGAATTCTGACAGCGGCAATGGGATAACTGACCCTAACTAACCCTAACCCTAACCCTAAGGGAATGAGATATTTCAATTCAATGGAATATAACGAAGATGTGAGAGATGTATTTGCAGGTTGGAAAGTTTTGGGAGAAATACTTGTCAAATCAAATCAACTTATTTTTGTGTTGCCCAAAATCATATCAAGGATATGAATTTATTGAACATTTGTGGGGGTGGGTCTTAAAGAACAGTTTCTGCAGCAGGATATTGTTCTCAGTCTGTATAATTGCAATACTATACTTCACGCAGGCATTCACAGACCAAACTACAATCATAGACAGTCTTTCTACCGGACAGAGCTTTGATATTCAGTATCAAAGTATCAATTTATTTCAGACATTTGCAGTGACTTAAAGTGACTTTATCCCCACCGCTGTCAGACTGTACAACAAGTCACTTTAAGTCACTGCATTAAGACTGAAAAGAAACCTGCACTACTGTTTACACTTCTTTCTAATCGCCACTTTTTTGTACATAATAAATCCTGCATTAACATGTTGCACATTTCTGACTTTTTGCACAATTGAGTGTTCCTGTCCTTGCCAAATGTGACGTGTACATTTCTCCTGAGTGAGATTAATAAAGTACATCTTATTTTTGACAATTCAAAAACATTTTCGGGCAAAAGGTCTAAATACAGTCTGAAAAAAGGAATAGGCAGAAGCTAAATCTTAGAGACGCTGCTTCACACTAATCAAAATACATTTACTCTTTTATGGTTATTTTCAGCTCAGAATTCATAAATCAATACATGTTTGAAGAATAGAACGTTTCATCCAGGGCTAATTCTCAATGAGGGACATCTCAAAGTCCCAAAGTAAAAAAAAAAAACATTAGGAAAAATGAAGGTCTCAGGATCAAAATGTTACTTTTTCCGATAAAACATTTATTTTCTTTTGCAAGGACAGTAGTGTAGGGAACCTTTATTTTTATTCACAAACTTCTGTCTCAGTCTTCTAATATTGCCCTGAAACGGGTTTTAGTCATTTTCTTCTTTAAAGCCACCTCATTTTTACAGCTGCTCCATGTGAAAAACATGTTAACCAATAACAAATATGACCTTTAAGAATATTTACCTCCAACATGTTTTTGAATTGTATTCATAGGCTCAGAATTAGAATTTAACTTGTCCATGAGAACGGAGTGCTCTCCGTGACCACAGTTATGTAGGCAAGGCAAGTTTATTTATATAGCACAATTCATACACAAGGCAACTCAAAGTGCTGAACAAAACAAGAAAGCATTAAAATCATAAATAATCACAGAACATTAAAAAGAAAGATAAAAACATAAAATCCCTCAGTTGTAGCACAGCTAAACAGAACTGTCTTTAACCTGGTTTTAAACATTGTCAGAGAGGAGGCCTGTCTCACATCTTCAGGAAGACTGTTCCAGATTTTAGCAGCATTAATCTGAAAAGCAGCCTCCCCATGTTTAGTTCTGACTCTGGGCACTAACAGGAGTCCAGTCCCTGTGCTCCTCAGAGTCCCAGCAGGAGGCCAGTCCCTGTGCTCCTCAGAGTCCCAGCAGGAGTCCAGTCCCTGTGCTCCTCAGAGTCCCAGCAGGAGTCCAGTCCCTGTGCTCCTCAGAGTCCCAGCAGGAGTCCAGTCCCTGTGCTCCTCAGAGTCCCAGCAGGAGTCCAGTCCCTGTGCTCCTCAGAGTCCCAGCAGGAGTCCAGTCCCTGTGCTCCTCAGAGTCCCAGCAGGAGGCCAGTCCCTGTGCTCCTCAGAGTCCCAGCAGGAGTCCAGTCCCTGTGCTCCTCAGAGTCCCCAGCAGGAGTCCAGTCCCTGTGCTCCTCAGTCCCAGCAGGAGTCCAGTCCCTGTGCTCCTCAGAGTCCCAGCAGGAGTCCAGTCCCTGTGCTCCTCAGAGTCCCAGCAGGAGGCCAGTCCCTGTGCTCCTCAGAGTCCCAGCAGGAGTCCAGTCCCTGTGCTCCTCAGAGTCCCAGCAGGAGTCCAGTCCCTGTGCTCCTCAGAGTCCCAGCAGGAGTCCAGTCCCTGTGCTCCTCAGAGTCCCAGCAGGAGGCCAGTCCCTGTGCTCCTCAGAGTCCCAGCAGGAGGCCAGTCCCTGTGCTCCTCAGAGTCCCAGCAGGAGGCCAGTCCCTGTGCTCCTCAGAGTCCCAGCAGGAGTCCAGTCCCTGTGCCCCTCAGAGTCCCAGCAGGAGTCCAGTCCCTGTGCTCCTCAGAGTCCCAGCAGGAGTCCAGTCCCTGTGCTCCTCAGAGTCCCAGCAGGAGTCCAGTCCCTGTGCTCCTCAGAGTCCGGGCTGGTTCATATGGGACTAACATGTCACTAATATATTTTGGTGCGAGGCCATGGAGAGACTTGTAACAAGCAGAGCTGTTTTAAAGTCTATTCTCTGAGCCACAGGAAGCCAGTGCAGAGACCTGAGGACTGGACTAATGTGGTCGTACTTCCTGGTTCTAGTCAGGACTAATGTGGTCGTACTTCCTGGTTCTAGTCAGGACTAATGTGGTCGTACTTCCTGGTTCTAGTCAGGACTAATGTGGTTGTACTTCCTGGTTCTAGTCAGGACTAATGTGGTCGTACTTCCTGGTTCTAGTCAGGACTAATGTGGTCGTACTTCCTGGTTCTAGTCAGGACTAATGTGGTCGTACTTCCTGGTTCTAGTCAGGACTAATGTGGTCGTACTTCCTGGTTCTAGTCAGGACTAATATGGTCGTACTTCCTGGTTCTTTTCAGGACTAATGTGGTCGTACTTCCTGGTTCTAGTCAGGACTAATGTGGTCGTACTTCCTGGTTCTAGTCAGGACTAATGTGGTCGTACTTCCTGGTTCTAGTCAGGACTAATGTGGTCGTACTTCCTGGTTCTAGTCAGGACTAATGTGGTCGTACTTCCTGGTTCTAGTCAGGACTAATGTGGTCGTACTTCCTGGTTCTAGTCAGGACTAATGTGGTCGTACTTCCTGGTTCTAGTCAGGACTAATGTGGTCATACTTCCTGGTTCTAGTCAGGACTAATGTGGTCGTACTTCCTGGTTCTAGTCAGGACTAATGTGGTCGTACTTCCTGGTTCTAGTCAGGACTCGAGCTGCTGCATTTTGAATGTACTGCAGCTGTTTTACAGCCTGTTTGGACAGACCTGTGAGCAGGCCATTGCAGTAGTCTAACCTACTGGAGACAAATGCATGGATAAGAATCTCCAAGTCTGCTTTAGACACTATGTTTTTGATCCTGGCAATGTTTTTTAGATGGTAAAAAGCTGCTGATGTTACTGATTGGATGTGGCTATTAAAATGTAAGTCTGAGTCCAGTATTACCCCTAGATTTCTGACCTTGTTTGAAGGTTTTAGGGAGAGAGACTGTAGGTGACAGATGACGCTCTCTCTTTGTTTCTGGGGACCAAAGACAATCATTTCTACATCTATCTCTGGTGCAAAGCATTTTATTTTTTACCCATCAGCCTTGTTTCACTGTATATTTACTAAATGAAATATATTTTAACAATCTAAAACATGAAAGCAAACAATAAATAGTCTCATTATGAGGCTCGAGGGCCACAAATGACGCACCATATTCATTCTTTAAACTGGAACAACTCAGAGCATGTCATTGACACAAACAACAGCAAACACATGTAAGCTCTGTAAGACACCTGTGAAACCGACAGAAATGAGAATCGTGTTAGAAGCAAAACCTATAAATGCAGACTCAATGCAGCCAACAAATGGACTGACCAGGTGATCGAAGCAGGAATCCTCTCTTTAATATTGACTGCAGTGATGTAAACAGCCTGGACTGAAGCTGCAAAAGAGCCCAGCTTCTGAGGCAGTGGAGCCTGGGGAGACCATCCTTCTTCATGTCGAGTGTGGAAGAGATTTACTGAGGAATAGCGGCATTATTTGTGCACTAACAATGAAACAAGCTTTGAGTTGTATTCTCTGTGTTTCCCCTGAGTAATAGGCAAACAGACACCGCAGCTGGTAGCACAACTGTGTAAAAATCAGTTTGGGCTGTTCAAAGATTTTCACAGATAAAAATAAATCTAGTTTGGCCTGACAGTGATGAAATAATAACCAGGCATTTTGTTCTGTATGTGTCATTTTCCCAGTTTTTGACTCATGGTCGGTTTGTGGTGGAAAAGAGATTATCCACATGTATCAATTATTCATGATTTTTCTTTTCAATTTTTGTCTGTTATGGGCTGGAAAGAGGTGGCACACACTCAGGCCCTGATTTAAGATGCTTTGAAGGCAACTAAATACTTTATACA